CATTCGGGATGAAGAATGCCCCGCTAACTTTCAGAGGATGGTAGATCGGCTACTGGATGGGTTTCAGGAGTATGCCTGCGCCTACTTGGATGATATAGCCATTTTTAGCTGCTCCTGGCCCGAACACCTGACCCACATAGGAGCCGTACTAGACCGGATTAGGGAGGCCGGACTGACCCTAAAGCCCAGTAAGTGCCATATAGGAACGCGTAAAAACCTCCCCAAGATAGTAGTATGGGCCCCAGAGTGTGAACAGGCCTTCCAACAGCTCAAGACGGCGCTCATTAAATCACCTGTACTTTCTGTGAGCCTGACACACCCCCTTTGAGACAAGTAACTGCTATTCAATTTATAACAGTGAAAAAAGTTTTTTGTTTTTAAATGCAAGCTATTGTGACACCAGTGAGTGAGTGGTGGCACTGGTGGCACTGGGCACAGTATCCACAGTATCCACTGTGAGCCTGACACACCCCCTTTGAGACAAGTAACTGCTATTCAATCTATAACAGTGAAAAACGTTTTTTGTTTTTAAATGCAAGCTATTGTGACACCAGTGAGTGAGTGGTGGCACTGGGCACAGTATCCACTGTGAGCCTGACACACCCGCTTTGAGACAACTAACTGCTATTCAATCTATAACAGTGAAAAAAGTTTTTGGGTTTTAAATGTAAGCTATTGTGACACCAGTGCGTGAGTGGTGGCACTGGGCACAGTATCCACTGTGAGCCTGATACAGAAGCTGGCAGACAACTAACTGCTATTCAATCTATTATAGTGAATTTTTTTTTTTATTTTTTTTTAAATGCAAGCTATTGTGACACCAGTGAGTGAGTGGTGGCACTGGGCACAGTATCCACTGTGAGCCTGACACAGAAGCTGGCAGGCAGGCAACTGTAATTACATTACACAAAAAAAAAAAAAAATCAGACTGATGTTCTAGCCCTAAAAGGGGCTTTTTGGGGTGTTGTCCTTACAGCAGAGATCAGATGAGTCCTTCAGGACTGTAGTGGACACTGTATACCCTAACCTAGCTATGCATTTCCCTATCTAATCAACAGCAGCTACACTTTCCCTCCTCTCACTAAGCATGCAGCTTGAGAATGAATGTAAAATGGATGCCTTCCAGTAGGTTGGAGGGTCTGCTAGGGAGGGTGTGCTGCTAATTGGCTGGAATGTGTCTGCTGACTGTGAGGTACAGGGTCAAAGTTTACTCAATGATGACGAATAGGGGGCGGATCGAACCGCGCATATGTTCGCCCGCCGTGGCGAACGCGAACACACTATGTTCGCCAGGAACTATTCGCCAGCGAACCATTCGGTGCATCACTAGTCTGTACCTTTGAATAAAATATAAAAAAAATTGAGAATTTTTTTTTTTTTTAGTTCTGCATGACATTTTAACTGTGAATGTCATATTACTGTTAGCTTTTACTGCAAAAAAATACACATTTTCTATTCAGCGATGTTTCACGTGTAAAACAGTACCCCCTATGTACAGGTTTTATGGTGTTTTGGGAAGTTACATTTTCAGTTTTTTTCACATTGAAATTCGCCAGGTTGCTTACTTTGCTTATGAGACCGTATGGTAGCCCAGGATTGAGAATTATCCCCATGATGGCATACCATTTTTTTTATATATATATATATATATATTTTTTTTTTTTTTATTACAATTTTACAAATTAAACATTTGGTTTTAACTTCGTCTTTCATATGCAAACAACAAATACAATAAATTTGATTATTCCATTTCAATCTTGTCTGAATAATTTCTTAAATAGATAATCATTACGAGCTAGTATCTAGAAAACTGATATAGTCTTAGGTTAAACCAATCATCAAGAATCAATCAGCAAAGAAGTATATAATACACAAAATATAACATAAATGTCAGATACATCATAAACGTATAACAACATAAAAACATAGGGACAACCTTGGAGTTGAAAAGAATGGGTGATACGAGTATCATTTCTTTAATAATATTAATATAATCTAGAACCATTTACAAGATAATAATAACAGCATTTTACCAAATGGATGTATCAATGCAAGGGTTTTATTTACTAGAGGTAGGCAATCTACTCTGTATAATAATCAAACCAATTTGTCCATATCTTGTTGAAGGTAACTATATTATATTCTTTAACCCCTTAAGGACTGAGCCAAATGTACACGTTGTGATCAAAACGTAAACAAAAACTTTAATTTGCACTTTATGGCTATTCAGGCGTAATTCACCTCTTTCATTTTATGTGCACCCACACTTATTATATATCATTTTATTCAGGGGAAACAGGGCATTTAACATCAAATATTTAGGTATAGTGATGTCCCGAACGGTTCGCCTCCCACCTCCTGGACAGCATCCATTTTACATTCATTGTGAAGCTGCATTCTTAGTGAGCTGTCCAGGAGGTGGGAGGGTCTGCTGCTGATTGGCTGGAATGTGTCTGCTGACTGTGAGGTACAGGGTCAAAGTTTACTCAATGATGACGAATAGGGGGCGGACTGAACAGCGCATATGTTCGCTGTCCGCGGCAAACCGTTCGGGACATCACTATTTAGGTATAAAACATAATTTAATATGAATATAATATAAAAAAATGAGAGAAAATAAGAATTTAAAAAAAATGTTTAGTTCTAAGTGACTGTGAATGTCATTGTAAAGGATCCTATTAACTCTGTAGTACCGATCCTTGCAGCTTCTCCCGAATTCTCAGCAGAATAGTAACGAAGTAGTGATTATAACTCCCAATTCCCCCAAACATGAGTCGAGACTTCATGAAGGGGTAAAATGATCTGATTTATTGATGGCCAAACTTAGCCCTTTTATGATGGTCTCCCAGCACGGGAACTCCCACATGGGACCTTGTGGAAGACTGTGACAAAATATACAGAACCAATCAGTTTACAGTACAATGATTAAACACACCCACAGTAACAGTGCAACCCCTCCTTTCATTCCTGGAGATAATTAACTTAAGTGGTTGAAGAGAACCTAATTATCTCCAGGTAGAGACAAACATGTCCTTTTTATATTTTAACAAAACAGTATTAAAATCCATAACTTATATTTCGCCGAACGTAGACTCTATTAAAATCCATAACTTATATTTCGCTGAACGTAGACTCTATGTTCCACATACCCCCAAATAGCTTGGGTGTGAGCGCACAATATAGCTGAATAGCGCTCAGATCCCACAAACACAGTTCTCAATATCGTCGAGTAAAGTTTTAGTTCACCGGTTGTTTGGGAAATTGAATCCGAAAAGAGTTCCATAACCTGGGGTCGGTCTATCTTGTATAGTAGGAAAGTCCCGAATGGTAAAGTGTTTAACGTGTTCGGGAGTTATTAGCCGTATGAACGGGAACATGGTACGCGTCAGTGGTGTGCGGCTGAATAAGTGTCCGAAAATAGTTCGAGAGGATCGACGCCCATCTACCACTGAGCGTTCGACATTAAAATGGCAACTGCCACGTGTTCGGCAAACAAACGTGGACCACCAAGCCTTTCATCAATTACCTTGCGTTTAATAAGTGGTTTGCACCCAGGAAAGGACCAGACTGGAAGAGTGAGTGCTGGATCCATATATATATATACACATATATATATATATATATATATATATATATATAGTAATGGATCCCCTATACTCCGGAGTATATCCGTTATGAATCTCCCGAGTCCCAAGCGCAGTAGTGATTATAGCCCAAGTTCCCCAAACATTAGCCTAGACTTGATGAAGGTTAAAACAAATCTGTTTAATCCAGGCCTAATGGCCCACTTACATACAATATAAAGACACAGTAAACACGCCCATGACACTCCCATAAACACACCCACAAAAGGTCCCCAAATTGCAGTGTCACCGTGACTCAGCAATAAATTTCAAAATATGAAAAACAAACAAAATCACATAATTTCCACCTAGGAACCCCCATAGTTTATACATCCCCGGATAGCCTGGATCTGAGCGCCCAACATATCTGAAAAGCGCTCAGTTCCCACGAACACAGCCGAAACACCACCGGGGTAAAGTTCTGACCGGCCACACACATGGTCCTATGCCCAAAACAGTTCCAGGGCATTTTGTGCTTTTTCCGGTCAACTTCGAGAGTTCCATGTGAAAGAATGCACACTCTGGCTATTTAGTAGAGTTTGTTTGTATGGCTCATATGAACAAACCTACCAAATGGCTCTCTCCTGACATGTGTGGGAAGGAAGCAGGTGTTCATCAAAGTTCAGCGGTGTTTGTGAGTTTCAGTGTCCGATTTTAGTTCCATGCGATCGACGCCCAAACACCGCTGCCTTCATTCCCGCGAACAAGATGGCAACCAACACAGTTCCCACATGTTCGTGCATACAAACGGTGGCCACCCAGCCGCACAATTAGAACACACTTCAACACACATTGAAGTGTCAGGAGAGGTTACCAGGGGTTAACAAGCCCAGAGGTGGTCCACAGTTCGTGAGTTTGTTCGGTTCCCGAACAGTACAAATAAATCCCACGAACCAAGTCATCTTTTTTTTTTTTTTTTATTCTTTATTTTATTTGTGCATAGATAAATCACAACTGGCTTACCATGCCACAACAGCTATGGTAAGCATTGTTCAACATAGCATGACAGTAGTTAGGCATTAGTGGGTACTGCACAGCTTTATATATAGTAATGTTGCTTATCTAGGTGTTGTTCTATGCTGTTGAACATTAAAGGTAAATTACAAGATTAGACAGAGCAGGATAATATATGTTTAGTGCTATAGAGTAAGGTGTTGCTATTGCAGAATATGCTAGTGAGAGGTATACTGGTAGTTGCTTATGAATTTCTGCATGTTGATTGTTAAGCTATCACTTGTGATTATTCACAATATTCAAAATATGTTGCTTGCTAGTAAGATGGCTAGCTCAGGTGCAGGCATCACTTAAGTGCACACATCGTGGTGAGCCTAGTGTGTAGCGTCCTTATCAAGTGACACCAAGTCCAGGTCGGGCAGTTCAACCGATCCCCATCAGCCTTAGGTTTGGTGCCCGAAGTAGTGGTCGGTGGGGGTCTCCCCAGTCGGTGCTCTTCCAGTTCCCAGCCGGGATGGAGTCAGAGTATAAGATGGCAAAAGTCCCCTGACCTGTGGTGAGCCTACCTTGGGCTTGGTGGTTGCTCGAATCTTCTGTCGGGGCGATTTGGTGAGGTGTCGGGGGTCCCACCTCGCTCCCCATCTCCATCAAGTAGGGACACTGGTCTGGGTCGTGTCTGGGAGACTGAGGGCGTCCGGCGGGATCTCTTCGCCCAGGAGGGTTGGTGGTCACCATGAGGTAAGGGGGGGTTTGAGCAGGCAGCCCTGTGGCTCGTTGCCTGTCAGGTGGGTAACTCACTGCTGGTGGTCTGTTGCCGATGGTGTCGCTGTTGGAGCGCTCCCGTAGACCGAAAGCTTTGCCCAAAAGTCGGCCAGCAGGCGGTCCAGCCATTCTGAGAGTGGTGCAATGAGGCTCAGCGTTGTGGCTGGCATGTGGCGTCCGCCATGTTGTGTTGCGCTGGAACTGCAGGGTAAGTAGTCTAGAGTGTTGCCGTGCACCTGAGGCGTGAGCCGTGTGCCGGGATTTTCCTCTGTGGCAGTCAGCAGAGGGACTTCCCCATGCCGTCTGTGTAGGCCGCTTATAGGCCTCAGATCGATCCCCGGTATGTCATCTGTGGTCCAACGCGGACTCGCTGGAGTGCTTCCTCTGTGGTAAGCCCTTTTTTTGTGGGCTGAAAGGCAGGCAATTTTAGGGTTAATTCAAGTGTTTTTGTGAGGAGCTCCTCTGATGTGTGGCCGTTCGGCTTGGCTGCTAGGCTCCGCCCCCGAACCAAGTCTTTTTACCAGCCTTTTCTATGGCCCATAGTCAGTGGACAGGAGGCTAGGAGGCTCCAGGAGCCTGTGGCGAATATATATGTATACATAATTTTAAAATTATCTTTTTATTTTAGTATTTAATTAAAAATATATATATATATATTATTAATTTATTTTTTATATATATATAAATGTATATACAATATAATATACATATGTAATTTCATTCTGTGTATATTTAAAAAAAAAAAATATATATATATATATATATAAATACACTAAGTATGAGACTATATATTTATATAAGAACGATCACATGACACAGGGGGTCTGATTTGCCAGAGGCTGTCAGGCTGTCCCTTTGAAGCGAATCGAAGAGGAGGTGAGTAACTGCAGGCTCCTGGAGCTCCATTCCACCACTAAGACTTTAAAGCCCATTAATATAGGGACGGCACGGAATGTCTTCTTCCTTATTTTTCTTACTGCAAAACATCCTTTCCTTTGCCTTAGACTAAATCTCCTTCTTTCCAGTCTAAATGTTTCTGAATAGATTTCCAGACAATGGTTTTGTATTGGCCCTGAATATATTTGTATAATACTACCATATCCCTTTCGAAGCACTGTTTTTCTAAACTGAACAGATGTAAATGTGTTAACCTTTATTTATAACTTTCCTTTCTCTAGTGCTAGGATATTCTTCTTTAGAACAGGTGCCCAAAATTGCACGGTATATTCTAGGTGTGGTCTTACCATTGATTTATAAAGAGGCAAAATTACCAGATTTTACTATTTACATGATGTAAACTTGTGATTTTATTAGAGACACGGAGGCGAGTATTATGTTGCACTCATTCTTTATTTCCCTCAGCAGTCAGCAGCAAAGAAAAACTTTAACAATGAAATCAACACAGGAAACAGTCAGTAACAAATATTTTCCATGGCAACCAACAGCCAACCAGGTTCCACTCTCCAGCATAATCAGCGGTATTCCCTGAACTATTTCCTCTTTCTAGCGATCCCGAACTTGTACAATCATCCAACCGAAAAAGGAACTCCAATAAGGGGATAATGCTATCAGCAAACAGGTTTCTAAGTCAAGCTGTAAGAGAGAGTAGAATATGGTAATATCCAAGTATAAAACTGGCTTCATGCATAAAATAACACTGTGTAAGTGAATAGGCCATATCTGATTTAAAATTTTATTCAGTCAACATATTGGAAATGGATACAGACATGAGAGATTCAAACCAAATCACCTTACTATTGAGCAAACCCGAACCAAAGAAACTTACCATAAGTAACTTACCAATGTTAAACCACCATCCAGGTAAGGGTGGGAAGGATAATACTCGCCTCCGTGTCGTTAATAAAATCATGACTTTATGTCATGTAAATAGTAAAATTAGGTAATTTTATTAAGACATGGAGGCTCCTACTATGCTAGTTTAAAGCTGTGAAATAACCGTTCCAGCAAAGTGTTCACTCGGCTTGAAATAAAAATCTCGAAATGTAGATTACGATGACCAATCAGCAGCTCGTAAAATAACGTCTAGTCGGGGGCGTGGCGTGGACCTGAATGTGAGCGGTCGCATGCTCTGCTAGCTAGGAATTTAGGTCCTCAAACCCAAATCTAAAGGAAAACTGAGCACCAAAGACTATCCAGACAATGTCTCATAACAAAAACAAAAGAGCGTCCGATAAACAGGACAAATTACACTTTTTCGGCGCCAAACAGGGGCAAGCAAGAGGAGCAGTGATACAGGAGGAATCCCAAGATGGTGCCGAGACAGACAGCGAAAAAGGAACAAACACCGAGGCTACAGGCCTAATACTCACCACGGAGGGGCTGCAAGCTATGTTCGATGACATGGTGGCGAAATTAGAAGGTACGCTGCAGCAATCATTTACAGACCTTCGCACCGATATCCACAAACTAAGCTCCTGCACCTCGGACCTAGAAAACCACATGGAGGCGCAAATGGAGGCACACAACCGCCTAACTACTAAGGTGGAAGAAGCATGGGACAGATTGAATGACTACGAGGCCAAAATTGCAGACATGGAGGACTGCACACGTGGCAGTGATTTAAGACTGCAGAATGTGCCTGAAAATATAAGCCCCCAGGATCTGCCCGCCTATGCAACGGGGCTCTTCCGTCTTCTTGTACCTGACTTACCACAAGACGTCTTGCTGATGGATCATATCCACATAGTGGCAAAACCCCAATATCTACCCACAGACACACCAAGGGACATTGTCCTGAAAATGCATTATTATCATGCCAAGGAGGTGGTTCTCAAAGCAAGCCGTGCACGCAAAGACCTACCTACAGAGTACCAGAAAATCAGAATCTTTGCAGACATCTCCACCATGACACTCAGGAAGAGGAAGACCTTCAGCACCATTACAGAACTCCTGCGAAACAACAGCATCACGTATAGGTGGGGATATCCGACTAAGCTACTGATACAGCGAAATGGCACCCTCACGGCGATCACATCCCTGGAAGACGGCCTGCAGAGGTTAAAAGACTGGGGTCTCAATCCACCTGCCGCGCAACCGGAGACAGCTTCTTTTTTTTTTTTCCATATATAATTTTTATTGGTTTTGAAAAGTACTCCGATACATGATACATGATGATGATGATGATGATGATACATTTGCTGACGCAGCAGCTCATTGACCAAGTACAGCGTTAACAGTTATAGCATTCTTCAAACATTATGACAAATACCTTCTAATACGTATATTCTATATCTTAATACAGCTCTGATTTCGCTTCACTTCAAATTATTTTGTTGCCTGTGTGGGAGCTTGTTAGAAGGAACTACGGTCTAGAGCATTGGTCATCAGTGCTTTTTAAATTGGTGAGTCTGCTTACTCAGATGCCTCTTTCACATCATGCAACCGGATACAGAAAAAAAAAAAGGAGTTAAGGGAAGGGTAACATTCAACTTAAACTGTAACCTGTGTCCCACCTGGCCTGGGTTTTGTATGCATGCAGTGCGCACGACTTTGGGTCCGCTACAGGACCTCTTGGTCGCCATAGGTTGCGATCTACCCCGGTTCCAACTACCTTGAACTTTAAGTACTTAATTTAGTGTCTATCCTTCTGTACCGTCCCTCGCTCAGACGCTTAGCCAGCCTCCCCAATGGATATTGTGTTTCTCAGGTGTTCCCTGCATTTTGTATGCCATCTGCTCGTACAGACATATACTATCCACTCTTTGTGCTACTTCTTCCTGAGTTGGGGGCGTGTCGTGTTTCCATTTCGATGCTATCGCAATTTTGGCTGTGGTTAGTATGTTTATGGCAGTTGTGGTTGATGAATTTCTCGTTGGGTTGGTTGTAGGGAGCATGTGAAGCAGGTAGCGTGCCGGGTTCAGTGGTATTGTCATGCTAGTGGTTTTGTGTATGAGTTTTTGGATCGTGGTCCAGAATGGTGTTATGGCTGGGCACTCCCAGAATATGTGTAGTAGAGAACCTGGTGTATGTTTGCATCTCCAGCACAGCGGGGAGGTGTTAGGGAACATCCTAGCCAGTCTTAGGGGGACTAAATACCAGCGCATTGCTAATATGCTTCCCATAGGGACAGGCTTTTGGATGCTCGCTTAGTGGTGTGAAAGGCTTCATACCATTGTTGTATAGTGATTGGTTCCCCTATGTCTTCTTCCCATTTTACCATATAGGAGAGTTTGTGCACGGATTTCCCTCTTTCTAGTGTGTTATAGCATAAGGCTAGCGGTTTGATGGAATGGGATGTCAAGATGTGCTGGGCAGAGGGTGTTGCGAGACAGCTTCTAATGGACACCAACCCTCTGCATGGAAGAAGGCGCGCAAATAGCCACCGGACCGCAGAGCACAAAGTATTCATGGACTTTTCCTGAGCCCGCAAGTATTTCTTGTTGTCGCATTATATACAGACATACAGTATAGCCATCCTAACACATTTTGTTAATGTAAATATAGCTATAAGATTAGCCATACCAGGCCGGGGAATATACATACAAAAAGTAGCCGGGGAATGCTATAAGGCATCAAATGAGTACCACTAAGACTCGAGCTAGCACTTCCCAATAACATTACTATTATGTCTACGTACAAACCTACTTCCCAAATTACTAATAGACATGTGCTTAAAAAACACACAAAGAGAAACATACCAAGCACGATGTCCTAGAGAACTCTATGGCCACATAATATAAAAAGCAAGGCTAACCAAAACACTCTATTATAAATGAGGTACCAGCACAACCTAACCAAATGGGTCAACATATAAGTTAACAAATTCAGGAGGGCCGCCCTCGCAGTAGCATCCTCAATCAGAATCAAAGCACTTTGCTCCGACCCCCATGGTTCCCCCTATGGGAACCTTGCCATATTTCTGGCACTTTTGTTCATAATTCTATATGAGTTTGAATGTTGCATTGTACATAGTTCAGTAACCTGTCTTTTCACTGTTACAAAACCTTATCCCCTATATCAGGGCCTAGTGGGTGGCCCAGCCACAATGTCCACCATCTATGTTGACGAATTAAATGTGCTCCTAATACCGAAGCCACACTTCGGGAAGACAAGAATAACAAATAATCTGAGGGTTTTAGCAAGAGGGTGATAGTGGTAAGTGGATGAGACAGCGCTAAACAACTTAAGGCAGCAACCCTTAAAGGGGAATCCCTCAAGATACCCTTAGAACAAGATAAATAAAAGTAACAATAAGTTAAATGGGGATCAATCCACTTACGCTGACATCATAGAGCAGTCTGTCTGCTCTCTATTTGTATGTTTTTATTTAATTTATACCATCACCGCTATACAGTGAGCACTATTGGTTGTCTCTTCTTCCTTTCCGAGAATTGGTCACCCCTGACGGAGAGATATCCCACCATATATCCCATAAGCGGGGATTATACCGCTGTGTGCGCTTTATCTCAGAGCTGGACAAAAGCTCTTGTAAATTTGAGTTTTCCATCATTATCTCTTATTTCGCTTTAATTTGACTCTGATATACTGCACCATTGGTTGTCCGTCTTTTATCTCTTTCATATACGAGGACACACAATTGTATTTGAAGAACCAACCATCTTACCAGCCTTCCATAAAGACTATCCGTAAGGACACACTATTTGGACTTTTTATATTGGTTTTTATTTATCTTTTTTTGGGGGGGGGATTTTACGTGGTGCAGCTCTAAGCAAGAGTGATCTGCCTGGCTCGAGAAAGCTGGTGAAGGCAGTACCTCATGGTAGAACAATATCAACTGGTTACATACAGACACTTTTCATACATGACACCATAAGGTTCTATAGCCATAATGTAAGGGGACTCAACCTCCCAGTACAAAGACACCTCCTGGGGAGAGACATACGCAAAAATGATGCCGACATTGTGTGCTTACAGGAAACACACTTTAGGGGAACGAATCATCCCAACATTATGACCAACTCATAGCCCCACCAATTCCACGTCTAATACTAAGTGAAAAGGAGTCTCCACCCTGATAAGCAAGAAAGTTGCCTTTGAACTAATCACAGAAGACACTGACCGAGAAGGCAGATATGTCCTTATAGTGAGACGCATAAACAATGTCTTATACACAATAGCAAACATCTATGCCCCAAACACCAATCAAAGGAACTTTATACACAAAATAATCCACAGAGTATCAATCGTACAACAAGGCACAACAAGCATTTGTGGGGACCTAAACCATGTACTCAATCCCACCTTGGACACCACTCTCTCCCAAAGTAGCCCCAGATATAGACCGCATAAGCGTCAGAGTGCAACCTTAACGAAACTATTGTCGTTACACCACTACTACGACGCGTGGAGAGTCACGCACGCAGACGATAGGGAGTATACCTACCACTCACCGGTCCATAACACTTATTCTAGGATTGATGGGTTCCTGGTGGGGGGGAACAACACTAGGGCAAATGGTGGACTGTGGGGTGGGACAGATAGTATGGTCTGAACATGCCCCCGTGGAATTGATTTTAAAAAACAACTATGACTTTAAACACAGAAGCCCCTGGTGGCGTAACGAAACCCTTCTGACGGATAAGCCCTTCTCAGGCAGCCTATCCGACTCCCTAACTGCCTAGATTGTGATCAGCTACTGCCTTTACAAAGGAACTTGTGCCTGAGGACCTCATTCTCTTTTTTTTCTTCTTTTTTTTTACTTGTCCCAGGCTACAGGAATTAAGCAGCCATCCAACAGATCCAAAGACTCTTGTTACTAGGATCCCTGAACAAAACTACACAGGACACACAGTTCCAGAAGGAACTAACATACTCAGCTTTATTTTAACTCAGGACTAGCCCAAGTGTGCATAACATTAAACTTGCTGTGACAACTCAATATAAA